CCTTGGGTTTGCGGTTGTGTCCGCGTGCGAAGCCCCAGGGTAGTTCTAAGGCGGCAGCGTTTACACCCAGCTCTGGGCCTGGGTTGTTCCATTTGGATCTTTCCCCATTTCAAACGGCAAAGGCCAGTCCCCAAGAAACACAACTGCAATGCTCCGCTCCCTCCACCCTGGCCGGGAACCGCAGCAGCCAGGTGAGCTGGGGCATGGCATGTCAGCAGCAGTTAAACTGCAGGGGGTGCTCTCATGCCACCAGTCAATGGGGGTGCAGTCCTCTAGGGGTGCTGCTTAGCCAAGCCAGAGAGAAGGGGGGAGCTGCACCTCTCAATTTAACCCCTGCACGTCCAGTTTTAAGTTCGGCCCGTGCCCGGCTTTCACGCTTCGTCCCAGCTCCGCTGCGCAGCTGGGAAGGCGGCGAGAGGCCCACCCGCCAGCCTGCAAGCCCTGGCACCAGTCACTGCTGCCCTCTACACGGGCTGGGATCTTGTGTGGACTGGGCACCAGCTGGGCTGGGCACCGCACAAATCTACAACAGAACAATAGCCCCTGATGGCAAAGGGGTCACTCACCGCAGGAGCCGGGGGTGGCGTAGCAGCTCTCTCCCCATACGGTGCCCCCTGCTGACAGTCGTTCCGGTGCTGTGGCGGCCTCGCTTCCCGCCAGCCGGGCGACGATGTTTGTCGCTATTTGATGATAAAGTCCAACAAGTAATTCCTAGGCGTTGTGTCAGGTCTCCAGCCCGGGCTCTGGGCTCATGCCTCTTTGGTCAGTGGCTGGTAAGGAAGCCAGGCCCTCCCTCTACACAGGGTTCCAGCCCAGGGAGCCTATAACCAGCAGCCAAGGTCTGCCCCTACCCCCCTCCTTGCTGCTGTTTCCCTGGGCTCCTTCCTACCCAGCCTCTCCCAGGCTCCCTTTCCCCACAACTTCTCTGGGTTGGCCCTTCTTCCAGGGCTAGGAGTCAGGGTTTATTCACCCCTGGTTTCCTCCTCACCATTTGTCTGCTCCCAGATGGTGGCCGCAGACACCCCCATTATAGCCCCCTTCTGCTACAAACTTCTCCTTGTACAAGCCAGGCTGCTTCTGCCCAGCTGGGCCTCATGATCAATTAAGCCTGGCTCTGCCTCCAGGTGCAGCCCGCTAACAGAATTGGCCTCACAGCCACATTTAACCCATGCATAGCCTGTGTCGGGTACACGTTCCATCCCACCAACACACAGAGCAGGCCGTATAAGTGCTGCTTCCCTTCAGCATAGCACTACCACTAGGAAGTGGTTTGCAAAGATTTAATATTATGATGACATTTGTTTTATGGGAAAAAACGATGGATTTTTTGCCATTTTCCCAATCAGCTTGGCATATCGCTGCCCCTCTCTGCCTCAGTTTGCCCACCTGTACAATGAGGGATAACACTCACCCAGCTGAGACTAGTTGCAAAACATTTTGAGGATTAAAAGCACGGTAAACATTTCTATCGTTCTTTACGTATTGATTAGTTTGTACTTTTATTTCATTCTAATTTTGAAAATTGACAAATTCTAATTTTCTCAACAGTGATTTGGCTGTTTCCGAAGCCATATTGGCTACAGCTGTTCCTATTATCCAGAAGGCAGTGCTAAATGTGTCCCACTAACCGATTTGAAAGTTGAGTATGGATAAGTACCGGGCTGCTGGCCTGGCATCTTTCACTGACACTGCAGTCTCTCTCTCTCTCTCTCTCTCTCTCTCTCCCACACACACACACACACACACACACACACACACCAAAAGAAAAATGAAACTTGGCCACCAAACGGCTTTTTTAGTGTTTTATCCACAAATGAAGTCCTTTGTTTGCCTTTTTTAAGCATACGTTTCATTCTTCACAACAGATTTTTTTTTTCCAACTGCAATCTAGATTTACAATATATACAATCTAGACGGTAAGGGACAATCAGTACATCTTGCAGATTTACCTATGTACAGTCTTTGGAGCAAGAATTCTTTTATAAAAAAAACTCTTTTAAAAAAAGTCTTTACAATAGAACCATGGTGTAATACATCAGTCATCTTCGGAGGAAACTGGGATTCTGAGATCGCTAGCATTCCAAAGACCAGTGAGCGTAACGGAGTTTACAGTTGACACATACTGTACAGTAAATATTTCAATGTTCCGCCCCCAGGGGGTCAGGTCTGGACACACAGGCATAACCCGTCTTGCTGAAGTTTGGGAACAGCTCCACCAGACCCAGGGAGGACCACACTGTGCCATCGCTCCTGTGGTACCTGGGTCTCAGAGAGCAGGGGCAGAAGTCGTCTCTCGTGATTTCCTTCCACATCTCCCTCTCCCCTTCCACACCTCCCTCCACCTAAAAAACATGTGCAAATGCCAAACGCTTTGGAAATCCAGCGGTGGGGGCCTGCACTTTCGGAGCAGGGGCACATGGGTTCCACCACTGCCGTCACCGCAAGGTACCAAGCAGCCATGGTGCCGGCCACCGAGACACCAGGGACAAGTCCAAAGAGGCAGCTGAGAAATCTCCCGCCACCCTTCAGAGCTCGACAAAGGGAGCTGGGGGGATCCCCTTCCTTGCCTGCCTGAGCATGGCATTCAGCAGCACCCTGCAGTATCCGCAGTGCATGTAGTGCAGGAATGAGAGTGGGGACACTCTGCTGAGACCGCAAGCCCTGTGCCCATCCTCATACGTGTCCACACAGTGCCCACTGTGCTGGAGGGGTACTGGCCCTGCAGAGGGCAGCTACAGCCATTGGGCTGCCATAATCACCCTGCAGCTATTCCACGGTCAAGGGAGGGCTGAGCTGTTCTCCCCACCTAGCAATACCGAGTGTCCAGCCTGCTTCTCACCCTGGTCCCTGCATCAGCCCGTACCTACCCCTGCTTGTCCCCAGTACACCCAGCGCTCAGCCACCTCCTCTGCGTTGGCCCCTTGGACTGGGGCTCTCGGAGCAGGAGCCCGTAGGTGGGGTTCCCGAGGAGGCGGGGGCAGGACACACAATACACTGGGCATCCAGCACTGTGCCCATTGGACAGGCTGGGCTTCCTGGCTTCCCTCAGCAGGCGATATATATACACACACACACACACACACACACCTCCAGCAGGGACACACACACACCCCTCCAGCAGGGACGGACACACACACACCCCTCCAGCAGGGACAGGGACACACAGACCCACACCCAGTAGGGACGGACACACACACATACACACCCCTCCAGCAGGGGGCAGTAGGGACGGACGGACACACACACCCCAACCCCTTCAGCAGGGGGCAGCAGGAACGGACACACACACATCCCTCCAGCAGGGGCAGGGACACACAGACCCACACCCAGTAGGGACGGACACACACACATACACACCCCTCCAGCAGGGGGCAGCAAGGACGGACACAACACACACACACACACACACACGCTCGTTCCCTAGCCATGCCCCCTAGTGGTACCAACCATGTTACACACGCCTGACTGTGCTACAAGGGAGAAGGGGTGCAGTGGTAGGAAGAGCTTTGGGCCCCGATCCAGCACTCGCTACGTCAACGGGAGTCCTTCAGTGGGGTCAGACACTTAGTGATGAAGTCAAAGCCCTACAGACACCCGGGGCACAAAGCTGCTACCCCAAGCCTGTGCCACTATGGAGGATAAGAGGGGGCTGGGTTAGGGGGAAGTATCCCCGAAGGTCACTCCCCCTTCAGGCAAAGCAGAAGGATGATACAGTTTCAACCCCACTGCTCCTCAGCCCCCCACAGGGCAATTCAATGGAAACAACATTACACTCGTTCTGCAACAGACACCGACGCTTCTCAGATAAATAATCATTTAAATTAGTTCGTTAAATTAACTAGCATTGAGCCACAGCACTGCCTGCTCAGGAGAGACTTTTCTGCTCTGTCCCACCCCCTTCGGGTCAGCACCTTGAAGAAGAACCTTTCCCCCTATTCCCCCCACCCCAGTGAGAGATCTGGGCTTTAGCAGCATGCATGCCCCCTGCCCCGCTTCAGGATCTAAAGGACCAGCTCCCAGGGAACGTGTGCCCAGAGCCCGACGGCTGGGAATCTCAGCAGAGAGGAGACGGCTTGCAGAGCGGGCTACGGAGACTCACCTCCCGTCTGAGCCCTGCACGTTTAGGGCCAAGACATGTTGGCCGGGAGCAGGGTGCAGTCCGGCAGCTTGTGTGGTACCCAATGGGCGGTGGGTGTCATAGGCATGGGGAGGCTAAGCTTCCCCTAACCCAAGCCATGGCCCTGCCCACGCTCTGCCCCATGGACGGGGCTTCACCTCTCCCCGAAGCCGGCGGGGGCTCAGGTCGGGCCGGTGGGTCAGGGCGGTTCGGCTGAGGCTCCTCCAGCTGCGGTTGGAGGGGGGGCACGCTCGGGGCTCCGGTGGGCGAGGAGTGGGGAAGGGGAGCAGGAGAAGGCCTCGGGCAGAAGGGGTGGGGCTGGAAGCTAGCCTCCCCGAAGGGGGCGTTCACCCACTGCCCATGGTAGTACCTGTTTTGTGGATAAACTGAGGGCTGCAACCCCCAGGCTGTCAGTTCGGCCCCTCTCCCCCGCAAGAAACGCACTTGCAATTGAAGGAGGGAAAAAACAAAACAAAACAGAATTTGATCAAAAGTTTTTTAAAAAGGAAAAGAAAACCCTATTTATTCCTACTTCAGATCCTTGAGTGCGGCCAAGCAGAGGGCATCCCCGGACCGATCTCAGCCCCACGGTGGAGGCAGCCCTGGGGACAGTTCATTCCTGGAGCGGCCACGATTCCTCCTCCAAACCAGGAGTCACCTTAGCTCCCCATGCTAGGTCCTCTTACAGAACAGAATTCAAACTCCTTCCCTTCACTGCGGGGGGGGGGGGAATGCAAGCAGCTGTGCTCTGTCAGTGAAGAATAATTTAACGCTCCCACCACTCTGCCTCCCTGCCCCCACTTTGATCGCCAGCTCACCATTCCCACTGGGAAGAAGCACTGGGGGGTGGGGGGAAGGGGGGGAAGAGGGGTCGGTCTAAAACCCCATCAGCAAAATACTGCATGGTACCCCTCCCCCCCATAAATGTTTAAAAAAGGACACCATTACAGCTTCCACCTACAGCAGCATTCCCATGTGCCGCACCCCCAGAGCCAGCCCCCCCAGCAGGGCACAAATGGGGGGGTGTCAAACCAGCCCCGCTGCCTCATTCGGACAGAGAGTAAACCGATCTGGCGAGAAGTTGACTATTCTTCCGCTGTCCAGGGTTCAGTTCAACAGTGCGGCAAACAGCCCCAGTCCCCTACGCGGAGCGGGCAGACCAAAGAGATGGGTGCACCAGCAAGCCACGAGGGCCCATCCCACGGGGGCAGCCTCTGCGCCGCCCTGAAGGCCGGCAAGTCAGCGTTGGCTTGGCCGCAAAGGGATCCAGCCACCCCACGACTGTAAGGATTTCAGATGCTCTGCTTCTGAGCCTTGACACGACGCGGCCGAAAGCCACATCAGCCTGGCCGAGGGGGACTCCGCAGCCCTCTCCCCTCTGTCTACCTTCTCCAGGACCAGCGCTGTCCCCAGCAGCCAGCCCCCACCACGAGCAAGGAGCCCATTCGGGGCCCTGCGGCACAGCAGTGGTATCTCCGGCCCGGTGGATGTTGGGACGCGCTGGGTGACAGGCAGCCAAGGCGGAGGCCAAGGCAATGCAGGTAAATTCTAGTCCACGTCCCATCAGAACTGCGTAAGGTTCTTGAGGACACCTAATTCAAGCATCCTTTTTATTGCTAATGCCTCGTGCGAGACATTGTGCTCCGACGCCTGCGAGACAGACAAAAGAGAGAGACAGACAAAAGAGAGCTCTTTAGGCCAGGTGCCATGGCGACAAGCCCCCTGATAAAAGCCTAGCTAGATGGGAAAGGCTGTGAGTCCAGCTCCTCCCCACCCTGCCCTGTCGCGGTTCGCCCTTCATGATGCTCAGGGCGGGGGGGGGGGGGGGGGGGCTGCAGCTTTAAAAGGGGACTGTCATTGTTTTAAGAGTTGAATATTTAATGCCTGCAACTGCCGAGATTCAGCCTGGATTCATGCTGCACTTGTGTTTTAGATCAGTGGTTCGCAACCTTTTTGGGCTCAGGACCCATTTGTAAATGTTTATGGCCTGTCGTGACCCAGTAAATAGTCTGGAGGTGGAGGCCCTGGGGTGGTTTTGGTCGAGTCCTGCCCAGCACTCACCTCACAGTGGCAGCTCCTGCACCTCCTGTGCTGTGGGGCTGGCTGGGCTTGGCTCTCCGCTCTGTGCGTTGCAACCTGTGGGGTCACCGCGCTGCTCTGGTTTGGCCCCATCCCTCTGACTGGACCAAATTTGTGTGAGTGGAGTTGTGACCTGGTTCAAGGGGGTGCAGTGCCACTCCCTCAAATTTGGCCTACCTGGGCTCCCATCGTCATGACGGCTGGGCCAAACCTCAGTGGTGCTGGGACCCCAGAGGTTGCAGAGCCTGGAACGGGGAGGTGAGACCAGCCAGCCCTATGGGACAGGAGCCGCGGGAGCTGCCACGTGAGCCTTTGAAACATTCTGGTGACCCAATTTTGGGTCCCGACCCATGGCTTGAGAAACCCTGCTTTAGATGACACCATCTCTCTGAGGAGGGACTCTCTTCATTAGCTATTTATTAATTGTACTGCAGTAGCACTTAAGAGCTCCAGTTGTGGACCTAGATCCCGGTGTGCAAGGCGCTGTACAGACAGAATGAAAAGATGGTCCTTGTCCCAAGGATATGGCAAGCTAAGCGTTCTGCTGTCTGTACAGGGCCTAACACATGGGGGCCCTGATCCTTGCTTGCTGTTCCTAGACACTACCATAATACAGATAGTGCTACTACCTAGAGTATTTCCTAGGTATCCCCTGTACTTACTCTGGGGAATACTCCAAATGCCAAGGGAATGGAAGAGTTTTTATGGATCAGAGGGTCCTGTGGCACCTTTAAGACTAACAGAAGTCTGTTAGTCTTAAAGGTGCCACAGGACCCTCTGTTGCTTTTTACAGATTCAGACTAACACGGCTACCCCTCTGATACTTTTTATGGATCATCACTGTCATATGCAGCACTGCTCTCTAGTGGATGGAATGCATCAACTCTATTCATGGGTATGACCAAGGGTAGTGGCCACAGCATATGGAGGGGCGGTATAACCCCTAGTTCTATTACATACCGAATCCAGACAGCTTACCGCTAATATGTTAATAACACAATTCCCACTGGTGACGTTTGTAAAGCCCAGAGATTCGCACAGGAAAGGTGCTGTGTAACAGCAAAGCGTGATCACTACTAGAGGGGAAAGAGCACACGGTCACTTACGGCCATTGACTTTAGTGTGATTTGCTCGTAGTAATGTATAGTCTGTTTCTTATTGGCAGAATCGGGGTATCCAAAGCCTGCGATATGTACCAGGTCACAGAAGTGCAATGCCAACGTGATGGCTAATAATCCCGTCGTTGGTTTCTAGAGGGAGAGAGATGAAAGGGCTCAGGGTGATTAAAAAAAAAACCCATACATGCTGGGTTCAGTTCAGAGTGGTTTTCTCCCCCCTTCTCTCTTTGGGGACAGGTCCTGTGTATAACACAGAGGCTTGGTATGCATGATCATTAGAGCCCAGAGTGAACACTGGGTCCAGGCTCATCAATGACCATGGTGCCTTGTGATACATGGACGCAGTTCGTCACATACGCGTGACTTAGAATGAAGGTTCCCCACTTAGGAAGGGCAGCTGCTAGCTATAGGGCTGCCGCCATTACGAAGTGGGACTCTCGGTTTTGTCCTGCATATATCACCACCTGCCTTATGGGGTATAAAACATCTGGACTAGACAAGAGGGGGAATACTGGGTCATGAACTCCAAGACACACATGGATTTTCCAAGTTGCTCCTTGAAAAATCTCCAGATGGGGAGAGCCCCTATGACTGTGTCCCAGGTCATTAGGATCTGCCATAGCTCAAGGCACTGAGAATGGATAGTTTAAGGAAAGCTTTATTGCCCATGACTGCAATGCATGAGTATCCAAACATTGAGGGGGGGAGGGATAGCTCAGTGGTTTGAGCATTGGCCTGCTAAACCCAGGGTTGTGAGTTCAATCCTTGAGGGGGCCATTTAGGGAACTGGGGTAAAAATCTGTCTGGGGATTAGTCCTGCTTTGAGCAGGGGGTTGGACTAGATGACCTCCTGAGGTCCCTTCCAATCCTGATATTCTATGATTCTATGAGCACTGCTTAAACTGCTGTCCCAGCATGCACTGGGCTCAGCGTGAATCTGGGACAAATTCTCTCCCAGTAAGGAACCTGGAGGGGTGATCCCTGGGACATTATACCCTCCCCTCCCAAAGTTGCTGGACAGAACGTTGAGGACAATGGAGACTCCTGCATGGAAATCCATTTTTGGGAACAAGGAGAAAGTCATACAAACAGTTTCTCTGGACGTGGCAACACCACAGCCAAGTGCACACCTTCACAGCCAGCTGCTCTGGAAGGAGATTCCACCCGGCTAAGCTGGTACGAGCCATGCTGAGCTGGTCTCAGCTGGAAATGATCTTCCCCCTAGCCAAGCTGGTCTGGGAATCTCTCTTTGCAGATCTTTTAGTAAGTTACTTCTACCCTGAGCTATAAGATTTCCATGCTTGGGACATTTCTCTCTGCTTGACATGGCTGGGAGGATGTGAGCCTTGATAGAAAGAGACCAGAGAACAGAAGAACAACTTATTGCCTTTTCAGCCAACTTCTATTCCCTTCCAGGGAGAGGAAGATATTCTTCTCTGGACCTGGCAGCCCCCCATCCCCGAATGACGCTGTTCCATTTGGACATCTGCTCGCTCCGATCCCCCACATCGCTAGATTTAGAGTCACTGTGGCTCTGCACAGTTTTACTCATTCCTCAGTTATATGCTGTTCCATCCATAGAATTCGGCAACATCAGCACGAGGTCAGTGTATGCCAAAGATTTGCTCCTGGGAAGCAGCTATTTCGAAAAGGACCTGAGGGCTGTGGGGAATAATCACTGAACACGAGCTCCCCATGTGATGCTGTGGCCCAAAGGCCTAATGCGATCTTTGGCTATATAAACAGGGGAATATTGACTAGGAGGGGTTCTATTACCTCTTTGTTTGGCACTGGTGCGACTGCTACTGGAATACTGGGTCCAGTTCTGGTGTCTACCGTTCAAGAAAAGATGCTGATAAATAGGAGAGGGGTCAGAGAAGAGCCACGAGAAGGATTAAAGGATTAGAAAACCTGCCTTATAGTGATAGAGCCAAGCAGCTCAAACGATTTCATTTCTCAAAGATAAGGTTAAAAGGTGACTCGAGCATGGTCTGTAACTACTTACATGGGAAACAGAAATTTGATAATAGCAGGTTCTCCACTCTAACAGCCAAAGGTCTCCAGTGGCTGGAGGTTGAAATTAGACAAATGAAGGCTAGAAATAAGGCAGAGGTTTTTAACACTAAAGATAATTAAGCATTGGAACAACTGTGGTGGAGTCTCCATCATGGTAAATTTTTAAATCAAGATTGGATGTTTTTCTAGAAAATCTGCTGTAGTTCAAACAGGAATGAATTTAGGGCAGTTCTCTGGCCTGGCCTATGCAGGAGGTCAGACTGGATGATCATAGTGGACTCTTCTAGCCTTACAGTCTATGAAGCTATAACATTATTTGTGAAACAGTGACTGGCTCTGGGACATTTAAACCTCTGCACCTCAGTTTCTCGAGCTATAAACGAGGACCCCACCACATCTCTTGCAGGTCTGTGGGGGCATTCGCTAGTCAGCCATTCCAAAGTGTTTTGAAGATGCAAAATGCTATGGTGTTACAGCGCCACTACAGAAAAGGATGAGAAGAGAATTCCACTCTGAACTCCGCAGACCTTCGTAACTTCCGCCAAACGTTATGGGTTTGTCTGATTTCTCACAAGTGATGGATAACAAGGAAAATCTATTCAGCTATTTCTTGCATTATAGGTGCACACAAAAAAAGGCCATCCACGAATACCTTTAAGCTTTAAAACAACCAAAGAAATTGGATAACTCAAAACCAGCTTTGTGTGCGCGCTCATACACACACACACACACACTTATAATTTGACTGCACTGGCCAAACAAACAATAGAAGGATTCAGCGCAGAAAGATCTTCATTCTTGAGCAGAAGCCACTTGTTAGCTTCTCCCTCCAGAAGAGCAGCTTCTCTGGTTTAGACTTGAGCTACAATCACTTCCCAACAGTGGCCAACTTTCCCCCCAACAAAGCAGTGTGAATATAATCTCAAAGATGCAGGGAAACAGAGGTGAGCGGGTGGCCAGCATCTCCCCACACCCGGGAGGCCCCATACTGTGCGTGGATGGATCACCTATCATTTTATCTACAAAGCACCGTAAGAATCACCCAAATGGCCTTCACCTTGATCTCCTCCTGCTTGGAAAAGGGCAGTAATTCTCCAAACCGTGTTGACCCAGCCCTGGGCTACTCAATAAGTCAATGGGGCACGAAGGGGAAAAGGGTGGGGGCGGTGCAGCGGAATGGCACCATGCCCCCTTAGCGAGTTCCAGTTGGGACTGCCCTGTGATTTAGATCCCGGGCACCGTGAGTCTGTCTCGCTCTCTTTGCCCCCAGCACACCGGCTCCCTTACCTGTTTAATCTTCCGCGGTTGCTTCATGGAAAGATTAAGCAATTTAGCAGCAGTAATTTCCATAAAGTAAGGGTTCAGAATTCGCACTTGCTCAGGATTGGCATCCCAGATTAAAGGGGGCTGCTTCCAGAACCCCTTGCGAACCTGGAAAAGGACAACAGGAAAAGTCAGGGGCTGTTCTTTCCCCACTAGGGCTGCACCAGGCTTGCATCCAGCAGCGAGAGCAAAACAAGGTAGAGGAGAGGCCAGCCGTAGCCCCCCGCGACACTTACTCGCTTCTTGTCATTGAGGATCATCTCCAGCCATTGGAAATCCATGGGTTTAAATGGCACCAGCACCAGCAGAGTATCCGGGTTGTTTTCCCGTCTGGGGTCGAAGTGCGCGGACTCTGGGTAAAACAGGCGCATGGTGGTTTTGGAGCCCACATCCGCCTCGTACCCATGAACCGGCGCGTTGTTCAACCTGAGGGGAGGGAGCGCAAGATGAGGCAGGGGCTATTTCATACGGGTTCCATTGTCCCCATGACCTGTCCCATTAGCATCTCACTTCCCGTCCCCAGCGGAGACCCTTTCAGGGATTCGAGCCACCTGCTCGCCACACTTTGACGTGATAGATGTTAGGTTAGGGGACGTGGGGACAGGATCCTTCGGGAATGAACTCCCCCAGGAAGTAAGGCCCATCCCAGCGCCACCTCCCACTCTGGGTGCCAGGCGCATTGCTTTGACCTGCCTTCTCTAACAAACCCCGAGCAACGTGAGTGTACATTTCCACAAAACCATCCAAACCAAACCCTTCCCCTGCACACACACCTCTCCCTGGGACAGGATGAGAGAGCAAACACAGGACAAATGTTAGTCACGTGGCTTAATGCATAACTGCAAGGCAGGGTGGATAAAAATCAATGATTTAAAAAAAAATCTGATTTTTTTTTATTTAAATCAGAATTTTTTGATAAAATGCTTCTTGAGGAAAAAACCTATCTAAAGATAGTTTTAATTAAGATACATTATAGCTCAAAGATATCTAATCATGGAATAGGGATTATAAATTCTAATTCTATAGTATGAGACAATATATTTATGTAATGTTTAAGAAAAGTTTTGTAAATGAGTTCCAATAGTTCATGGATTAGGGACCCAATTTTATGGGGTTCCACAGGCTTCTGTATATATTATTTGCGTTAATTTTTCTATCTACCCAATGGGACTTGGTATCTTCTAGACTGAGCACTATCAGAGATGCTTAGCTCAAACTGCGGATTTGTGTCTCCAGAGGTAACATGCTTGTTAACAGCAAAAATGTTTTTAAATAAATAATATATAGAGGTGAGAAATAACAGACCTCAACTCTATTGTCCTTCTGCAAATTTGTGTACACAGAGTCAATCCCTTACCTCTCTCTAAAAGTGCAAAGTTCAATGAATAGAAGATTGTTGGGGGTGGAATAGATCTGGACAAGGAGAAGAAGTCTGGAGATAAATGTGAGAAGCAAGGGACATATGCTTTTTTGTTAAAATATTGTATGTTTGTTGTTGAAGAAAAAAAATCCAGAATACTTAATGTTGTTTTAGTTAAATAAAACAATTTTAAGTGTCTGTCTGGTGATGTTCTCCTCCTAATACAGCCTGGCAAGAAAATCCTCCAAATATTAATGATTAACCTGTTGAACTGGAGATAGTTCACCTCCCAATGACATCATAAATATCTGCTTCAATTACCTTTGGTAAATGAAATCACCAAACAATCATTCCTTTTCTGATATAGCTGTAAAACTAATCTGAAAAGTTTTCAAAATAAATCCCTGTCTAAAAATGTATAGTGTGTCCCTTCTAAAAATGAAACCTACATCTAACTCTGAGTTGTGAAGAATATGTATCAAGGTTATAACAGGGGTTCTCAAACTGTGGGTCAGGAACCCTCAGGGGGTCGTGAGGGTATTACATGGGGGATCAAGAGCTGTCAGTCTCCACCCCAAACCCCACTTTGCCTCCAGCATTTATAATGGTGTTAAATATATAAAAAAGTGTTTTTAATTTATAAGGGGGGGGGGGTCGCACTCAGAGGCTTCCTATGTGAAAGGGGTCACCAGTACAAAAGTTTGAGAACTACTGGGTTATAACAACCAACAAGAATGCACTTTTATGTAGAAAACCATGATTAAATCGAGTCTTCCTGACTAGTGATTTAAATCAAATCCACCCTGCTGCAAGGTGCTCACACACTACAGTGATGAGAGTGGTAGAAGGGCCTGATTAGACTAGAATTTCCAGGTTAGTCCTACCTGTATCTCCCACATCCCTTGTGTAAATCTGTGCATTTCCGTTCAAATCAGAACTGAGGAACTGGCCTAAGGAGTCTGAGCACCTGCTTCTCGCTGGTGCTGGCAATTCCAGCTCCAGGAAAGCCCAAAGCATCCCCACTACGTGGGCTGCCCCAGGGACCCAAGAGTCTCAAAGGCAGCCCTGCTATGTCAGGGCTTCTGGGCTGCCTGTCATGGAGCCAGGACCATGCGGGCTCTCTGGACTTCCAAGCTCTCTGCTGTGATGCCAAGAACCTGGCACTCTTGAAAGCCCTGACTCTAACTCGAGCTTGGCTCCTAGATCCGCAGCCTGGAGTCTGGAAATCCTGGGGTCTCTCAGGGTCACTGCCATCAAGCTGATAGCCTGGAGGTCCTGGAACAGGCTTCCCCATATGAGGTTCCCAGGGACGGATTTCCAGGCTCTGCAGCTCAAAGGGTAGCTCCAGGGCCAGGGACCCCAGAGCTCTCAGACTCCTGGGCCACATTTCCATGTTTCTGTTCAGGATTTCCTGTTCACCAGCAATTCTGTCTTGGCCAGCTCTCGTCCGTGCTAGCCCCGCTCCGTGGCTCTGCCTCCTTTCATGCACACCAAAGCTAAGTCAAAGGAAAAGGGAACGATACGAGGCTCACATGCCGCATCAATTCTGGTCCCTCAACACGAAAAGAATGCATTCCGTTTTCCTCCATCCCATTAACGTACCATGGATCCCGGAGTGTTCATCTCAGCCGGTCCCCGGGTATCTGTGAACATTCTCCGCTGTGTCCAAACTGATGTGATGGGTCCTTGGGGGGAGGAAGACCAACCCTCACTGTACTGAATCTCCATAGTGCCTTACCTGATCACCACGTCGTATTTGTTGATTGCTTCCCCCATGGAGCTGTTTCGGAGCCGGTGTCCATTCCCCACCACTGCACATCTTCGGCACTTCATGCTGCAAAAGAAAACAATCTCAACCAAACGCTCTCACCGTTCTTTTCATCTCCGGGGGATTCTCTCCCCCTTTACATTGAACAATTTAGTTCTTTACACATTTTTAGAAGCAACAAAAACAGCCTCGACTCCTTGGCGCCCTCTAGGGTTGAGCTTCCTGCTGCCCCAGGGGGTGAAGTTTTGCACGTAATGGCTTTGCGATGCAGGAGGTCAGACAAGATGGTAATGGACTCTTCTGCTTTGAGATCTATGAATCTGAAAGCACTGCATTTTTACCAGTGGATTCCAGGGGAAATGCAGGTGTGAATTCCCATTGCTGCTTTCCCTTGGCCTAGTCAGTAGGGCCATTTCTCTGATGTAGACACTTGCCCCCTCCCACTCACTAGGAACCAAACTGAAATCTCAAACCCATTTATAGACTCATAGACTTTAAGGTCAGAAGGGACCATTATGATCATCTAGTCTGACCTCCTGCACAACGCAGGCCACAGAATCAAACCCACCCACTCCAGTAACAAACCCCCAACCTATGTCTGAGTTATTGAAGTCCTCAAATTGTGGTTTAAAGACCTCAAGGTGCAGAGAATCCTCCAGCAAGTGACCCGTGCCCCACGCTGCAGAGGAAGGTGAAAAACCTTCAGGGCCTCTGCCAATCTGCCCTGGAGGAAAATTCCTTCCTGACCCCAAATATGGCAATCAGCTAAGCATGTGGGCAAGACTCACCAGCCAGCACCCAGGAAAGAATTCTCTGTAGTAACTCAGATCCCACCCCATCTAACATCCCATCTCAGACCATTGGGCAAATTTACCTGCTAATAATCAAAGATCAATTAATTGCCAAAATTAGGCTATCCCATCATACCATCCCCTCCATAAACTTATCAAGCTTAGTCTTGAAGCCAGATATGTCTTTTGCTCCCACTGCTCCCCTTGGAAGGCTGTTCCAGAACTTCACTCCTCTAATGGTTAGAAACCTTCTTCTAATTTCAAGTCTAAACTTCCTAGTGTCCAGTTTATATCCATTTGTTCTTGTGTCCACATTGGTACTAAGCTTAAATAATTCCTCTCCCTCTCTGATATTTATCCCTCTGATATATCTATAAAGAACAATCATATCTCCCTTCAGCCTTCTTTTGGTTAGGCTAAACAAGCCAAGCTCTTTGAGTCTCCTTTCATAAGGCAGGTTTTCCATTCCTCGGATCATCCCAGTAGCCCTTCTCTGTACCTGTTCCAGTTTGAATTCATCCTTCTTAAACATGGGAGACCAGAACTGCACACAATATTCCAGATGAGGTCTCACCAGTGCCTTGTATAACGGTACTAACACCTCCTTATCTTTACTGGAAATACCTCGCCTGATGCATCCCAAGACCACATTAGCTTTTTTAACCGCCATATCACATTGGCGGCTCAGAGTCATCCTGTGATCAACCAATCCTTCTCCTCCTCTATTACTTCCAACTGATGTGTCCCCAATTTATAACCAAAATTATTGTTATTAATCCCTAAATGCATGATCTTGCACTTTTCACTATTAAATTTCATCCTATTACTATTACTCATTTCACACAGACCCCTGAATAGCAATGGGGCCCTAGTCACTACCAACACAGCTAGATTCCAACTGGAGACCCAGAGACAAGAGATACCCTTTATCAGCACATTAGACTGCGAACAACACATGTTAACGCCCAAATAAGGTGGCAGGTGCATATAATAAGCCCCCTGCTCAGTGGACAGCAGGGATTGAATTTGAGACCTTCATCACTAAAAGCAAGAGCCCTTACCGCTTGAGCTACAGGAGTAACTCCTCTAAATTGGCACAGAAGTAGACTCTTATCCTCTTAGGTGAACTACACTCTTAGCATGGGTTACATATTGTTCAGCAGGAAAGGCACTGGGCTGGGATTCAGGAGATCTGGATTCTGTTCCCTACTGTGACACAGACTCTGTGTGTGATCCGGGGTAAGTCTCCATCTCTCTGTGCCCCAGTTTTCTCATGTGTGAGCTGAGGATGCCACCCCAGCAGCACAGGGAGGTTGTGGGGTCCAAAGAAGGTCTCGAGCCTGTCAGACGGGTGATACTACAGAAGTGCAGAGGCAGCATCCTTCCGCAGGCCTCAGGCACCATTCCGACAGTTATGGCAGGTGAAAATAAAGTGCCCAGCTGCCTGGTGAAGAAGAAAAACCTGCTGGTGCCAGAAGCTGGGGTGGAATGGAGCATCCATGTGATAAGCCAGCCCTGCAATTGGACCACGGTCAGAAAGATCTCCAGGCAACTGGAAGCTGCTTCACCCAGTCAACCCAATTCTTCCACCAGTTCAAGCCACTTCAGAGAGAGGACTCCGTGGCAGCAGCTTGTCCAGGCCAGTCTCTCCCCTTCCACTGCTGCCTCCAGCTTCCTGGAGGGCTGCTAGAGGCAAACGCCAAGAGGCCGGATTTCAGCCCAGAGCCCATAGATAGTGCACTGAAACACAGGCAAACACAGGGGCTGAGCCTGTCAGCACACTGCACCTCCCCTCGCAAACCACCAACAGCCCTGTATTGCGTGAACAGCCTCACGCTCCAGCTCGCCAGGGTGCGACAGTGAGGTGGCTGCTGCTGCTCTGAAGCCGGCAGCGTGGCCTAGCGACTCCAACACCCCACTGGGTCGCAGGGATCCTTGGTTCTATTCCCAACTCAGCTCCTTGGGCAAGTCATGTCTCTCTGTGCCTCAGTTTCCCTGTCTGCACAATGATGCTAATGATACTGACCTCCTTTGTGGAGCTCATGGAGATCTATGGAAGAGACGAGCTAGGCCTTAGTGTTTTATTGCATCAGGGACAGGCCTTTAACTGGCCCAGCGACGGCCTCTGCAGCATGTTCCATAAGCCCTGGCTTGACCCCAGGTTTGGTTTTTCCTTCTGTCCTAGGGACAGCAGCCTATGCCCATACAGCCCAGCTACTGGAGACGACAGCCACACGAGGAAGGGTCTAGTTACATTGTTCAGCCCTGCATGGGAGTTTTGTTGGGCCTCCTGAGATCTGGTTCTCGGTCCTGATTCTAGGTGGGCTGGGTCAGCGGAGCCTGTTCCTTTGCTCTGCTACAACGGTACCCCAAATCTGCTGTGGTTGTAGGAAGGGGGGGTCACGCGCCCTGTATTTCTGACCCATGCCTCGCATGGTCCGTGCTTGACTAGCTCAGACAAGCAGACAGACCAGAACAAGAGAGAGCCAGTGCTCGGCTGTCAGACAGAATCACGGGCACAGCAAACTGACACTGCAGCTCGTTACCCGCCTGCCAAAAATCAACGGCTCGTTTTGCCGTATGTCCCCAGAGAGAGTCCAGCAATTTACTCCATTTTAGTGCAAACAAACCGCCAGGCCGCTGACTGGGGCTGCAGCACCATGACATCATGTCCTGGAGCACGTCTGTCAACACGGGGCTGGGTTACAGACCGCAAGTCTGCCAGGGGCTGGGAAATCCAATCCTGCCACTGGCTGCAGGAAGGCAGCACACTGGGGGGGGGGGGGGGGGGGGGTGGCTCATCCAACCAAATCCCTTGTGCACATCAGAAATCTGCCCATCAGCCTGGCATGCAGTTTGGCCACCTCGGTTCACAAGGGGCCCAAGGACTGGAACAGCAGGGGGGCTGCGGGGCAGGACTGAGGGGCGTCAGCAGAGACCCACGGACTGGCAAGGCAGGGGGGCTGAGCCACATGGAGAAACAGACTCTGTCCACCCCTCCCTCTCTCTCTTCTCACAGTTTACAAGGGGAGAGGAAGCAGCAGGAGAGTGGGCGTCTGCGGGACAATGCCAGGGAGGGGAGGAGAGATGGGGCAGGGCTACAGATGGGGGAGACATCTGGGCAAAGCCCCACATACACACCAAGGGAAGGAGAATGGGGCAGTTCGGGGATGATAGTGATCAAGAGGTCACTGGTGGGGTTTGGCGATGCGCTCCCAACACACACAGAAGGCCAGGGTCTCTGACAGTCAAACACCCCAGCACGTGCATTCACGCGCCAGAGGTGGTTGTGAAAGGGCGCCGCTCAGGGCAAGGGCAGCTCTACAGGTGGGCAGGGCAGCCTACGTAGGAGATGGAAAACTCCGACTTCAAAGCCCCCTCCACGGGTTAAATGAAGCCCGGCGTCGGGCAGTGGCAACACCCGTGCCATGTGCTGGCAGTCCACCAGATCTACGGCAAGACGGTGGGGAGACAGGGGGCATGTGCTTAGTTCAAGCGGGGAGATGTCCTCTCACTGCGGTGTACGTCAGGGACACCGACTGATACGCTGAGTCTCTGGTGCAAGGGGACTAAATCTGTGCAAGCCGTTTCTTCCTTTTGGCAAGTTCCCAAAGGGCAATAGTAGATGTCGGTTCTAAGGAGAGGTGAGAGCGACTTGTATGCTTCTCCGCCAGGAACTACGGATGGGAGGACATCTCAGTCCTAGGGTAGGAGTTCACCCACCTGGCTGCTGGATTTTCGGGCAGCCAGCACCTGAGCTGTTCTCCAGAGGGTTGGGGACTGGCGGTCAATTTAGGATGAATGAAAAGAACCTGACGACGGTGGCAGGGGGAGAGAGGGTGGTAGGAAAGAGACTCCCAGGAAAGAGGAGGAAGAGATGGATTGTACCCAAGAAGATGGTAAACATATGGACCTTCGCGCTGCCTCAGACAGACACAGTTGGTGGATGTTTGCATGACAACCCGACCCCAGCTGATGGGGAAGAAGACTCCATTATCTCTTCATCTTGATCCAGAGCCTGGTCAGATGATTTATCAACATCCACGAGGGGACCAAGAAGGAGAACGAGACACACATAGGCCAATATAAATGGACTTCAGCCTCCTTGGCATTCAGGCCAAGAGCTTCCTGTGTTCACTCTGAGAGGGGGCTCTGCTGGGTTTAAACCCAATTTTTGGTTCATTAAAACCTTTGCTAGGGATCTTCTCATCCAGCATGGGTACAGGCTGGCAGTGACTGAATGGCTCCAAATGCCACCTGAACCCCAGTGACCTACATGAAGTGACTCTGAAAACTCAAGGCCCTTGCCAAATCCCACACTTCACAGATGGCTCTAACTGGCCCAGCAGAGAAGCCAAGGGCCGGATGGGCTGTGGGGCCTGAACCCATCACAAGGGCACAACACACGGGGGGCAGAGGGGAGCTAGCCCTGCGCCTGACTAGTGGATAGATGGACTTGAGTCTCCAGAGCTCTCAGTCCAGCCCCTTCCAAAGCTCTGTGACGATCATTCACCTGACAATGGCAGCACGTGCAATCAGATGCGCTGGGAGGAAACGTTAGATGCACTGAAATTACCTTTGGATGCTTTCGGGCACCGAGTAGCTGGTGATCGCTAACACCCGGAGGAGAATGTCTTCTGCAAAGGAATGCAAGGGGGCAGTTAGTGAGGTCAGTCCTCCCCAGAAGCCATGAGATCCCCATGTCAGGCACAAGACCCCAGGCTACCCCCAAGCACCACATGGAAACCAGAGAGGGAATTCTTCTCTTGAAGAGCTGTTTCCCTGGGATCATCCCCTTTCCCACCATCAAAGGCTCCAACCCCTCCACCTCCACCCTCCATCCTCCCTCTGGCCAAAGGCAATTGGGCCTGGCCACCTTCCAAACCCAGGCCCCTCTGCCATGCGCTGACTGGCCGGGCTGGGGAGGTCAGGTAGAGAGAGGGGTCAGTGCAAGTAGCAAAGATGCTCTGAGCTCTGCCCAGGTCTTTCCCAGTGGACGGACCTTGCAGCACATCCATGCCGGAGCGTCCTCCTAGAGGCTGCGGCAGCCACGCGAGACAGAGAACGAGCCGTGTAGCAGGAAGGAAAGCGTGTAGTAACTTAACAAGCCCTGGGGCTGGCGGGGGAGACAGAGGCGGCCACGTACTTATTGATCAGGCAACGGTTGGAATAAACAACATGCACTTAGGTGCCTCGAAGCAGGAGCACTGAGCAAGACTGGGTAGAGCCTTCCTCAGCAGCTGTCCTGTTAACCTGTCCTCCCTGTGTCAGCACTCCCCAGCCCCAGGGCTGCTCCCAAATGCACTCGGTGCAGAACCCTGCTTCCTTGGGCACCCTTGTCTGACTGCATCCATCTGTTGTTTCTTGTCTTAGACTTAGATTGTACGTGTTTTGGGGCAGTTTGCACAGTACCCAGCAGAACGGGGTGTTAGGCCGTGACTGGGGCTCCTAAGTGCTACAAATAAATAATGACAGTAACAACAGACGACTCTCGCGCTCTCCAGAGGAGCCTGCATCTGCACCAGCAGATCTCCTACCCACTATTAACACATAGCGCTGCCCAGAGCTTCCCCCAGCACCTATACACCTCCCAGCTGCAATGGGGTTCACTACACACGTCAACACCCATGGGGCGGGCGGGCAAGGAGGAGCTGGGAGCAACCGGCCACCATCTGTCAGTGAACATGAAGTCTCACGCATCTCCATCATTGGATCCCTCCCTGCCATCCAAACCCCCGACGTGAACTGCTCCTTCCAGGACTGAGGACTTGGGTAGATGTTCAGGAGAGCTGGCAGGTTCTCAAGGGGAAATATTGAATGCACAACTGCAAACTATAATGGGAAGAGACCAATATGGCTCCATCAGGAGCCCTTTGATGACCTGAAAATCAGAAAAGAATCCTACAAAAAGAGGAAACATGGCCGAATTGCTAAGGAAGAGTGCAAAAGAACAGCACAGGCATGTAGGGACAAAATCAGAAAGGCTAAGGCACAAAATGAGTATTACCTAGCCAGGGACATGAAAGGCAATAAGAAGAGGTTCTTTAAATACATTAGGAGCAAAAGAAAGACAGCGGCAAGCATAGGTCCTTTACTTGGCAGGGAAGGAGAGCTAATAACTGATGACATAAAGAAGGCGGAGGTGTTGAATGCCCATTTTGCTTCAGTCTTCACTAAATAGGTTAATAGTGACTAGACACTCAAAACAATTTATATTCACAAGAGGGAAGGAACACAAGCCAAAATAGGGAAAGAACAGGTTAAGGACTATTTCAATAAGTTAGGTGTATCCAAGTCAGCAGGGCCTGATGAAATTCGTCCTCGGTACTTAAGGAATGAGCTGAAGCAATCTTGGAACCATTAGTAATTATCTTCAAGAATCCATGGAGGATGGGTGAGTCCCAGAAGGCTGGAGAAGGATAAACATAGTTCCTATTTTTAAAAAGGGGAACCAGGAGAACATGGGGAACCACAGACCGGACAGACTAACTTCAATATCTGAAAAATACTGGAACAAATGATTAAACAATCAATTTGTAAGCACCTAGAGGATAAGAGGATAATAAGGAATAGCCAGCATGGATCTGTCAAGAACAAATCATGCCAAACCAACTTGATTTCCTTCTTTGAAAGAGTTTCTGGCCTAATGAATGGGGGAAGCAGTAGATGTGATAGATCTTGATTTTAGTAAGGCTTTTGACACAGTCCCACATGACATTCTCATAAGCAAACTAGGGAAATGTGGTCTAGATGAAATTACTGTAAGGTGGGTGCACAACTGGTTGCAAGACGGTACTTAGAGAGTTGTTATCCATGGTTCACTGTCCAACTGGGAGGGTGTATCTAGCAGGGTCCCGCAGGGGTCAGTCCTGGGTCTGGTATTATTCTTTTAATGACTTGGCTAATGGAGTAGAGAGTATGCTTATAAAATTTGCAGATGACACCAAGCTGGGAGGGGTTGCAAGCACTTTGGAGAACAGGATTAGAATTCAAAACGACCCTGACAAATTGGAGAACTGGTCTGAATTCAACAGGATGAAATTCAGTGCAGACAAGTGCAAAGTACTTCACTTGGGAAGGAAAAATCAAATGCATAACTACAAAAATGGGAAATAACTGGCTAGGTGATCGTACTGCTGAAAAGGGCTATAGTGGATCACAAATTGAATACGAGTCAACAATGTGATGCAGTTGCAAAAAAAGGCTAACAACATTCTGGGGTGTGTTAACAGAAGTGTTGTACGTAAGACACGGAAGGTAACTGTCTCACTCTAGTCGGCACTGGTGAGGCCTCAGCTGCAATGCTGAGTCCAAATCCGGGTGCCACACTAGGAGTGAAGTGGACAAACTGGAGAGAGTCCAGAGGAGAACAAAAAGTATGATTAAAGGATTAGAAAACCTGACCGACGAGGAAAAGCTAAAAATCTGGGCATGTTTGGTCTTGAGAAAAGAAGACTGAGAGGGGACCTGATAACAGAGTTCATCCATGTTAACAGCTGTTACAAAGAGGACGGTGATCAATTGTTGTCCTACCTTCAGTGGACATGGAAAAAGTAGTAATGGGCTCAATCTGCCGCAAGGGAGATTTAGGTTAGATAATAGGAAAATCTTTCTAACTCTAAGGCCAGTTAGGCTCTGGGATAGACATCCAAAGAAGGTTGTGGAATCCTCATCATTGAAGGTTTTTAAAACCAGGTTTGACAAACCCCTGTCAGGGATGGTGTAGCTTTACTTGGTTCTGCCACAACACAGGGGGCTGGACTTGATGACCTCTCGAGGTCCCTTCCAGCCCCGTGTTTCTATGACCCTATCTGTCCCTGCTGGAGGGGAGCCCACCAGCTGCCAAAAGCCAGGAGGAGGGGGAGGGAGAGGACTGCTGCCATCTCCCAGCAGCAGTAGCAAGGGGATAAAAGAGACCCACATCTGCTGTGGCTTTTGCACAGAGAGGGACACATACACACAGGAACCAGTGGGGTATACACGACCAAAAGCAATCGCTATTACTTCAGCGTTGCCAGACTTTGCTGTGTTATGAACGATGTTAAGGCTCCTATAGCTTGGGATAGCCATCTTTTTACTGTTTTTAATCTAGATAATAGAGTCTTTATTCTCCTTTTTAAAAAGAGACTCAGTCATCCAGTTAGGGATCAGAAACAGTATCATGTGACTCTGACAACCAATCACGCATCATGGGCAACAAGTTGTTGCTAACCATTTGTGAACGCCCGACTAGCTGAACGTTTTTCTCACAACCTGGTCAAGCAACCGTAAACACCTTTGTAAGAATTCTATGATTTCTATGATTCTAAGACTTTGAAAAGGGGAGTAGAGTAACACTTCCAACAGGCTGATACCCTAGATTACATAAACCTAGTATGTTGCATGTGCACTTGCCCCTTTCTAAATAAAAAGGGAGGGATAGCTCAGTGGTTTAAGCATTGGCTTGCTAAACCCAGGGTTGTGAGTTCAATCCTTGAGGGGGCCATTTAGGGATAGGGGGCAAAAAAACAAATAAATTGGGGATTGGTCCTGCTTTGAGCCAGGGGTTGGACTAGATGACCTCCTGAGGTCCCTTCCAACCCTGATATTCTATGATTCTATAATTCATCTGTTTGTGGGTAATTCCCTAACCGAAAACAGGGGTCAGCTGATGAGAAGTTATTGGCAACATGCCCACGGAAGGGCCATGCAAACCATAAGCAAGTCCAGGGCAGAGCCAAGAGGCCACAGGAGAGAGCAGATCCAGCCACATTGGCTAGACTGCAAGTAAGAAATAGGAGGCGGCAGGAGAGACAGAAAAAGCAGGTGCGAAGGAGAATATATTTCCTTTATTGTGTGCCATGCTGCAGTTAACCAAACCCCAGGGATTGGTGCTGCAGGTTTGCTTACCGCTTCCTTTAGTCCCATATGGCAGCTCATACGGCGACCGGTTCTTCACCCAAAAGTAATCATTTAGGTGTAAAAACATTGGATGATCCCGTGTGTAACTGCAAGGAACACAGAGCCTGATTAGCCAGAGGGACGTGTTAACCTGAACTGAACTGGCATCTTCAGCTGACTTCACAGTCTATTCTCCGCCCTTTCCCTCACCCCCAGAGCCCGCAGTGCCAATCCTCCCCCAGCTCCCACATGCCACCCGTCGCCTGGGAGCAAAGAGCAGCCCTGCAAAGGCCCAGCTCCTGCTTGGGACAGTTACTCACTTTCCTATGAGCAGCGTGGCTTTCTTTTCCATCTCTCCTCGGGGACACGTCGTTCGGACATCTTGCACGGGGAAAGAAAAACTGTAAGGCAAACAGCAGAGATGGTGATTTCCCCAGCCTGGGCCCCGCTCGCATGACGCGCCGTCCTTTCCACGTCCGGCGAGCAGGCGTGAGTCCAAGTGAGAGCAGAGCATGTCACTGCCAGACAGTAACTGAGGGCTTGGGTCCCATGTCACCTCCAGGCCATGTGCCACTAGCAGAGCTTATTGCAGAGGAGTCATGGCAGAGCCTGAGGGAATCTCAAAGTCGGTAAAAGCACCCCTCTCTCGACTGACTGCTATATGCTCAAATACTAGGCTCTTAAGCCCACGCTAGAGAGAGAGCAGCATGCAGAGACCAGAGACGTCACTCGCGTCTTCAGCTCTAGGCACAAGCACCAAAGAAAACTGCCTAACATCTTTTTTCGACTGCTTATCCTCTGCACTTCTCTTTTAACCCTTCAGGTGCGTCGTCAAGTAGAGAAAAAGGTGCATTCTTATATCCTGTGAATTAACCCCGTCGTCTAACTCGGTCTGCGAACACGCATTTAAAACTACAAACAGCCTTCTCTGGGATTTTACCTCACGTAAGTTACTAAGTATTAGCTAACATGGTAAGAATGCACCTCTTAGTGAAGACAAGGCTTAGACGCTCACTCACCACGATCTACGGCCCAGATTTTGCAGGCTCATCCCAAATTCACCTTGGACAAGCACTGAGCTGTCCCCCAAAAATCATGATAGGCTTGGGCGGGGGAACCCCCAATGCATTGTTATGCAATGTCATCACAACAAGACGGCACTTACAGGCGTCCTTCACCTGTTGTGCGGCTGCATTATAATCGTGTTTATCCTGTAGGATGAACTGAGGAGGTGAATCTCACCAGCCGATCCAGACTAGATAGGCCTCCCTCTTATCTAGCCAGAAGTGGTGTCATTTAGCTATCCCCGCCTCCAGCTCCACACGGGTTCCTGAGATCGAGAGCGTGTCCCTTCCACGCACTGTGTCTTAGTCTCACAGCGGGGCAGCCCAAAACCATCAGGAAAGGGCAGAAGAGAAAAGGGACTTGCCCCCACTAAAACTTTAAAAAAGACACTCACAGATGTATGTACCTTTCTTCGCGGGATATATAGTACCACGCCATCACCAGAAAGAACACCAGCCCTAAGATCATCTTCCATCCTATGAGAGACAAAGAACATGCTATAATGCTAGGACCATGGAGCTGTCACCGCACAACAGGCAGACCTCCCATCAGCTCAATACATGGACCTTGGTTTACAACCTTTTAGCCGGATCTCAATTCACAGGCGAAGCCCTGTGTCAAAGCCAATTTGAATTCATTTTTTGAATAAGGTTTCATGGGGCAGTTTGTCAAATGCTTTAGTGGTGTGCAGATCAGTTCTCCTCCTTCCCTCCCACCCCTGGTGCCTATGGTATAATGCCAGGTCCACAGTAAACCATTGGAACTTACAGGGCCAGATTCACGCCAGTCCTAACTAACCCTTCCCAAAAATGAATATGTGAAGAAAATTCAGACACATTCCAAAGGAAGAGGAGATGCAATTTCTGGACCAACTTCTCTTCTTCGCTGACTTCAGTGGAGTTTTGCCCATTTACACTAGCAGGGAATTTGGCCCTCTGGCAGTGGTTTCTCATTAACCCTGCTTTCTCCAGAGCAGCGGCTGTTCCATTTTCTTGCTGTGCCTGTATGGAGAATGCAACTGACCCTTTCTTTCATTTCGTAGATTTTTTTTTAAGGCCAGAAGGGACCATTATGATCCTCCTCCTGCACAACACAGGCCAGAAATTTCTCTCCCTCAATATTGCATCAAACCCAGTTCTAGTGGTTGAGCAGGAGCAGGATTTTAGAAAAAGACATCCAACCTTCGTCTAAAGACTTCAGTATTATGGCAAACCCACCACAACCCTAGATAAGTTGCTCCAAGGGTTAATGGCTTTCCACTTAAAAGTTTGCATCTAATTTCTACCCTGGATTTATCTCGTTTCAGCTCACAGCCCACAACAGATCTTGTTATGTCTGCTAGATTAAAGAGCTCTCTATTAGCAGAATTTTTCTCCCCACAATGGGGAATTGCCTGAGGTGATGCTACTGGGATTTGAACTTTTGGTTCCAGTGGGTCTGGCCAACCAGCAGCTCAGCCCACCAACTCAGCACCGCCCTCCTTCTGCTGGCACCGTTAAACATCTAAGGAGCCTGCCCTTCTGCAGGGAGCAGTTGCCATTGTGTGACGCATGGTTCATGCAGCACGTTACAGAGGGTGGCACATGCTGCGCTCTCTCTCTCTCTCTCTCATATAGAGATTTTACCTTTAGTTTCTTTTTGTTTTGAGATTTCTCAAACTAGAATAAAAGTCATTCAGGCTCAAAGTGCTTGTTCGCTGGGTGTGTGGAAAAGCAAAATTTACAATGGCAAAGTCCGATGCATATTGGATCACTCGGAGAAAAATAAAGTTTGACAAGTCCGTATTTCAGCGCAAGATGCAGCAATACAGAAACCAACGTGTCTGCTCCATCAGTGACTGATGGGAGACTGAAGGTCCAATCCTGCCATTTAGGAGACTGAACTCCTCCATGATTTGAGGTCAACCTGTAGCTAGAATACAGGTCAAAGATATGGAACTGTTATTAAGAGCATCAGCGCTTACGTTAGAGAAAACTGTTATAACTCATCAGGCTACTGAGATAACTTCAATGCAAATGACTCTGACTGGGTGACTGGTTGTCAGACCAGAGAGCAGACTTGGGTTGGTGCAATAGGAGAAGAAAAAGAAGCCAAATGCATAGAAAACAGCTAACGGGGAACAACAGCATGGAGCCCAGAGTTTGCAGTGGCACATGATGCAAAAGGAAATGTCTGCCCAAGCAGCATCCAGCATGAGACACATACTGGAGAGGTGTGTGTCACACAAGAAGATGACAGAGAGGAAGCTGTGCTCACTGGTATAATGTTGAAGCGCAGAGGCCGTTAGCACCCATCAGCAGGGAGTCCCCAAAAATGGCACACCTGACCAGGTAAGGCTGGGGACAGGAGCACACCCCTGGGTTATGAAAGTTGAAGCAGCTGATGAAGTGTGGCTATTTGAGTCACGAGCACCGGTCCCACACAGCACTGAAGTCCTGGAGGGCGCCACGGAATAACCTCAGCCAAAGAAATTTGCATCTGAGATAAATTTATTATTTCTGCGGAACAGACACTTCCTGCTCAGCGGCTCCTGCTCACACGTAGTGAGTCAGAGCCATCTGCCAAGCTCCTTAGCTGGCCTAGACTCTTATATCCAGGTGCGGCTAGTGATATGTCCACCACAGGCTGGGCTGTTTAATCTAGCTTTACTGGTCTTTACAACCAGACTAGACCTTATCTGCCTGCCTTGCTTAGCCCTTGCGTTCACTCATCCAGAGTCACCTAACCAATCACAAGCTGATCCCGGCCGATGCACCTTGCCCCAGCCTGCCACAACCCCTTCCCTGGCTCAGCGTACCCTGCCTGCCACCGGCCAGCCACAACAGTCTCCTCACGTCTCTTCCCGCTGCCCAAGTAACAGCTGGTGTCCACCTAAGATGGAAGGATTCACAGTATTCCCCCATCACCTTCCACCTGCCTCACTTACTTGTTTATATTTGCTCATCACTATAACATGTAGGTACCAAGTACAGGGAGTAGAAGCTCCAGCAGGGACCTCTGGGAACTACATCCTAGTCCAGTCTCATATGGGCTGTAGATTCACGGGGCGGGGTGGGGGGGGTTGATTTCTCCTTCTCCAACTCCCTACCCCACCCCATAAACACATATTAGCCCAACCCACGGAGGTGGGAGGTGGGAAAAGACGGCCAGACCAGATACAGTGATAACTGTACATATCATGAGAACATAAGAACGGCCATACTGGGTCAGACCAAAGGTCCATCTAGCCCAGTGTCCTGTCTTCCAACGATGGCCAATGCCAGATGCCCCAGAGGGAATTAACAGAACAGGTAATCATCAAGTGATCCATCCTCTGTCGTCCAGTCCCTGCATCTGCCAGTCAGAGGTTTAGGGACACCCAGAGCATGGAGCTACACCCCTGACTATCCTGGCTAATAGCCATTGATGGAGCTATCCTCCCTCTCCCCCCACCCTCCTGGAGAAGACAAAAAGCTCCCTCCATCCTTCTGACCCCTTCTTTGTGCCACCTCATCACAGTGTGCACAACCCTCCACATACTGGCTGATCCTCCAGAGCCACCGCGAAGGACAGAATGAGATCAAGCCCCTGACCCCACTGGGAAGGTGATGAGTTATCCCTGAACTAGAGCCTGGTTCAACCACACGTGGGGATGTGTCACTCCTGTGCGAGGCTCCAGCCAATCCAGGAGCCAGGAGCTGGTCTGGTGACTCTCAGGGCAGGTATATAAACCGCTCAGGAGACAGAGCTGCTCCGTTTGCCCAGCTCACTTCATGGCTTGGAACTCTCCCCTGCCCGACAGTGGGGATAGACTCCACAGGCCTCAGCCTGCTCCAGCCCTGCTCTGGCTCCAGCCTGGCGCCCAGTCCTACTCCTGCCTTGCTCCAATCCTGCTCTTGACTCCTGATTCTGGCTCTGATCCTTGGCTCTGACCGTTGGGCCAAGCCATCCTTGCCTTGGTTTCTGATACCCACCTTGTCCCTTCCCCAGTTTGGGGGTCCCCATGGCACTACCAGTCGGTATTAGTTTTAAACACCACTCTGTACATGAATCACCCGTGACCCTGCAAACCCGTCTCAGGGAAAGAACGCAAAGCGACAAGGACTTACGGGACTTGTTGATCATTTTTATCAGCAGGGGAGGCGCCACCCGGTGGCTATTGCTCTCATCGCGGCCACTGCTGGTCACCTAGAGTGGGAAGAGGAAGACGCTTTGAGTCGTACCTGCCAGGCAGAACATCTGGTCACCCTGCACACATCCCTTCCCCTCCACGCTGCCTGGCACTGAAAGTCCTGCCTACAGATATTCAGTGCCATAGAAGCACCTGGATTAGTGTGGCCTGTGTAACAGTGATGCTAGCAGTTAAGATTTTATGTTAGCGATCACACACACACACACACACACACACACAGATGCTGATCATATATATCATCTGGTCACACACTCAGGGATTCAAAAGTGTTTCAGTGAATTAGGAGCATAAGTCACTGTTGCAAATGAGACTTTGGAAGATTTCTATGCAGAGAGATTACAGATCGGTGTTTAAATTATACATGCCCTTCAGTAAGAAAAAAATCAAAACCATTGAAATTTCTGTTTGAAAAAATATATTTTGTTCCATATGAACAAAATGTATTATGTTACAGAAATAGGACTTCAGATGTCTTACATATGAGCTTCTGTTTCCAGGTATAGTTCACAAACATTATATGCCATGAAATGCTGTAGGTCAATTGTTAAGCACTTTCACAGTACTAAAAAAACCTAACTATACATATGCGCTTCTAATCCATATTCACATAGCATTATATTTATGCAGCTGCATATTATTCCATAGGGTATTGCAGATAAAGACTAATAACTGTACTTCACTTCCCATGGAATCCCTGATGCATAGTACAACTAAACATAGATTATTTATTACGTTCTGAGTTAAAAACATGAAGAGTCATAAGTTCAGACTGCACAGAGAAAGTTTTCCCCATTGAAGAGTTCTATCCACGTTGTTATCAAAATAAATTAGACGCGAATACTTTTCCTTGCCCTAACTTTGCAAGATGGGGTACGCATAGTGATAAGCCACCTTCATTTTCAATTCACATTTTAAAAAAATTATTCTGCACACACACACACACACACACACACACACACACACGTACACGTACAGTGAGAGACAGCAACCGCCCAGACTGACAGCCGCTGGGTCTGCACCGCGCACCAAATGTTCTTTGCAGCTCCTGAACCAAGTAGACAGCTGCAATGCTGACGCATCACCAAGAAGCCAAGCAGATCAGGCAGGTATTAAAGCAACATACATCACGTTGGATGCCACGTACTTGGAAAGAACCAGATTCCTTTGATCCAGCCATCCACTTGGAAAGAGGCTTGGCTGGTGCTGTGTGTTTTGTAAAGACTTCTGCACTCACAGCAGTCTGAGCTCCCAAATACGTCTGCTCCACAAGCCGCCTTGTGACACATCGGGTGACTGCACCAGGGTGAAAGATCTCAGTGGAAAGGTTTGAAACCACCTTCCTAATTATCTCTTTGTGGTTAATTAAGGAAATATACTGAACAGGCCTTCCCCATCCATCTACAGCATGTTTACTTCTTTCAGAGCAGGTGTCTGCAAGCTGAGTGATTTTCAACAGCTCAGTCACTTGGTTTATTACTTGGGCTCCTGAACGATTCCATAATTAAGTCATGTTTCCTTGAAATCTTTAGGCTGCCGCGGATCTCCGCAGAGGCAGACACCCCTCTGGAGAAGCAGGGGAGGGTGCCAGCAAACCGGGCCAGGACATTCTTCCAAAATGACCCTGGCTCCACGCATCCGTCTTGCTGCTCTTTAGTCATTGGCCAGACAAACCTCAGAGTGTTCTCACGTTCCTGAGCAGTCTAAAACTCTTCCAGGGCACCGGGAGCCAGTGATTAAGCTCTCACCACTGCTTGACCACTCTAAGGTCAATGTTTACTTTGCCACACAATCCTCATTTCACTCCCCTCCCCACCCTCACTCAGCGGTCACCATCTTGGCCAGCGAAAGTCAAACAAAACTAATCTAAAGCCACCTTTATTCCAGGGGGGTGGGGGGGGGGAGGGAGGAGAGACACAGCTCGTTAAGAGCAATTCTCTTCTTGAGTTGCTGGGATACGCCACGAATCATTACAGGACGGAACAAATTAATTTCATAACCATGCGGCTCTTCAGAGCCGTAACAAGCCCTGGGATTCATTCCTTCGCTAAGTGAATGTAAGTGCTGGGGAACAGGTGCCAAAAGGACAGGCTTAGAGAAGCTTTGTTCTTCTGTTTATCCCTGCATTGCCCTGGCAACGTGCCTTATCCCGGATCTAGAACCACCATATGCAGGGAAGAGGATACTTCACTTGCCAGGACCCAATCAGTTGGGGTGCTGTGACCATTGCCAGTCACCAATATTCCCTCATTGTTTCTTTGTTCTCCCCTGTCTGGCTGTATCCAGCCATTCTCTCCTGCCTTGTACTTCAATCATAATCTTCCTGGGGCAGGGCCTGGCTCTTTGCCCTCTGTTCAAGAATCGCAGCGTTTAAGACCAGAAGTGATCACTAGATCATCTTGTCTGACCTCCTGTATTTCACAGGCCACCATCAGCCAGCACCCACGCACTAAACCCAACAGGTGAAATGACACTCCAGTATTGCTAGCCTCAGGAAACCAAGCTATTGTGTGTAGAGAAGAGACGGGACCAAAGCACGCCAATGCCCGAGGCCCCACCAGTGGCAGAGAAGAGCTACCAGCGAGGGGTAACTCGCAGTCCCTTCCAGCCTGGGCCCATCTGCAACAGTCACCTCCCATGAGCAAACTCTTGAGCCTTTCACTATCTGACCACCAGCAGGGCTCCCTAGGCCATCGATAAAGTCACCTGAGAAGTAACAAAGGACCAAAGGTGACCTTACCAACTGCAGGGGATTGAGAGTGCAGGATATACCTCCTCCATCCTAGCAGATAATAATACCTGCTTAATGCTCCACAGAACAGCTCCAGACAGTCTCTGCTGATAAATATGCCCTGGAGGAAGATCCCCTCTTCACGCCCACCTTGGACAGGAGTTTAACGCCAGCAATTATCTCCGTCTCACTCTCCCCACTCCTTACCTACCTGGATTCCAAGGCCAAAAGGGAAACATTGTAGCCATCTAGGTCTGATAAAAGGCCACGCTACTCCACAGGAGCACCAGGATTGGAACCCACGCCCTCCAGTATCAAAGGCTACAGCCTTACCCCTGTGCCACCACACCTCCTACACCTTGCTGCGAGGCCACTTTGGAGGTCAACATGGTGCATGCCTACCTTCTTTCCTGCCCAGACATGACTCTCTTCATAGCCCACAAGCGCCATTCAACATATCAACTGGAGGGGGCACTGCTGAACAATGTGATACTCCACCGCAGAGCTGCCCAAAACAAAGGATTTCTGGTTCCTGCGAAACGTCAATATTTTGATTGCTTTCATTCCACACTTTGGCATTAAACTATTTTTTTCAAAATTTCCCATGAACCACAAATCTAAAAAAAAATCAAATTGTTTCGGAAATACCGACCCCGAACGAGACCTGCTCCCCAGGACCAGGGCAGCCCCTGACTGACAGTCTTGTCGGTTTCACTAGGGCTGTGAACCTGACAAGAAATTTCAGCCAGCAGCTGCTGGAGCTCCTGGGGTCTGCAACTCTAGGGCAGGGAGTCTGAAAGTCCTGAGAGTCCCCAGGCTCCCTGTTGCAGATCTGGGAGCCAATCCTGATTAGAGCTGGGGCTTTCAGGCAGTAAGCCTGGAAACCCTGGCATGGCAAGGCTGCCCTGCAGCTCTGGACTCTAGGAAGTTCTGGGGTCTCCAGCCTGGCACTGCCCACAAGGCTAGGCTGCCCTGGAGCTGTGGACCCAGGAAGCGCTGGTTTCCCAGCAGCCCACTATGCAAGCTGGCAGGAAAGGATAGAAACTTGCTTGGCAGGCAGGTTTCTGATAGACCCAAACCATTTTCACAGGCCATTTGGGGATCAACACATGGGCATTTGGCAATGAAAAAGTTCAGAGAGGAAGTTCAGACTTGGGCCTTCTGGTTGATGTTACAGCTAGCCACCACGGACAGGAAGTGCATTTCTGGAGAGGCAGGGGTTCACTGCCAGTGAGTTTAATCTCAGCTGATTAAACTCACCGGGCATTCAGCCGTGTGCCTCTGGACCCCACCCAAAAGGATGTGCTCTAATTACCCATAATGTCACTGCCCATCTGTCTCATTGCCCAGTGAAACCACACAGCTGGAGGAAGTCTTTGCAGCTGGGTTGAGTGCACCCTGAGCACCAGGGTGTATCATTCACCTAAAACGCTCACCAGGGTGAGGCGATCTTAAAACAATATAGAACATTGGCACTTTTCTGCCACATTTCTTTGCTAGGAACTCACTGTGCTAACCAAACCCTAATTCTGCCTCAGCCCATCCTCAACGGTAGGTCAGCAGGAGTGTCCCCATTTTACAGACAGGGAAAGTGAGGCATAGAAGTCAAGTGACTAGCCCCAAGTCAGTGGGAGATCTAGGGACAGAACCCGGATCCTTGCCTTCCAGCTCCATGCTTTGGTCACTAGACCAGAGTCTTCCTCTGTAATCCCAACCACCCACACACTGCACCTACTAATCTACAGCCATGGCAAAAAATGCTTCGAAATGAAGAATGGCATCAAAAAAGATTGAGGGACGTGTGAGGTTTGTTTTGTAAGTCATTGTGCTACACAATAACCAGTGATCGCTGAACCTCACCGCCTAGGACACTGGGTTCAACCGAACCTCTACACATTCAGCTGCTTTGCACAACATACCTGTTACCCATGCCCACCTGGGATGGAAGGCTCTCAAGAGCAAGGTTCAGCTTGCAAAATGTCCCCTCCTCTCACAGAGGCTGGAGACGCCACCAGGCACAAACCTTTCCATGGGATTCCACCTTCCTAAGAAAACTGAGTTCATGGAGCTGTCTCAAATGTCCCCTTTCCCATCCCCCAAAAAGATCCAGTAGAGTTGGGTTCTTATTGTCCCAGCCTGGTTTGTTCCCAGCCCAATGCTTCCTCCACTGGATGGGATAAGAGCAGTTCCCGAAAGACAAGAACATAAAAATAGCATCCAGCTCTGCTGCACTGTAGCAGGTTTGAGATCCATGCACTCTGGGGCCGT